ACTGAACCTGGGTTCTCTGCTAGAGCAGCAAGAACCCTTAACTGCAGAGCCCTCTCTCTAGCCCCTGTTTAAGCATTTTTGACTGAAATGTAAGCAAAACTTATATTTTGATCACTCCACATTACCACACATGGGGAAATCCACATGAGATAGGTCACAGGCCCAGCACGGGTTCACTAAAATGTGGTTTCTTTATCTGTGTACATGTGAAGCATAAAGGGAATTTTTTTATTTAATATTTTATTTATTATTTTTATTTCATGTGTACAAGTGTATTGCCTGCATGTGAGTGTACCCATATCATGCAATGCCGTAGAGGTTAGAAGAGGGTGTTGGATTCCCCGGAACTGGAGTTAAGGACGATTTTTAGCCACCAGGTGGGAATGGAACCCAGGTCCTTTGCAAGAGCAGTCAGTGAAATATGTACATACTGAGATGTACTGAGGAAGGGCCTGAATTAAACACAAGTATTATGTATGTAGTGTACATACTGAAAAATCCCCCAAAATTTGTACTGTGAACTGCTTCTGGCCCCAGGCATTTCTGATACAGATACCCAGCATGTGTTCAAAAATGACTAGAAATGGTTGAGTAGAGAGGGCTGGGGCTATGACTCAGTGGTAGTTTGTCTGGCACCCATGAAGTCCTGGGCTCAACCCCAGTGCTGAAGAAACATTAGTTTTGAGCCATAATGTAGCACACCTGTAATTCTAGCACCTGGAAGGCTAAGGCAGGAGGATCAGGAGTTCAAGGCCAGCTGGGGCTACATGAGACCCTGTCTCAAAACACCAAAAACCAACTAAACAGCAACAACAAAAAAACAGGATGGAAGACATATCTATTCCTGTAAATGAATCTGTTCCAGAGTTGGTGCCTCACCCTATCTCACTGGCCCCACCCACAGCAAACTCTGGTCCCAGACAGCAGAGCACAGATGTGACAAAATGGCCACATGACCAGGAGACACCCAGCTGACCTCACATTAACCAGGAGCTGCAGGTCTAACCAACAGAGTCCTGCCTGTGCTGTCAGGGCCTGCCTGGGTATCCTACAAGGCTCACTGTGGGAAGCACATCAGACAAGCCCAGCATAGGGGGTATGGTGGGGAAGGGACATCTAGACACAGCCAGCATCCCAAGACTGTCCAGGCTGGTAACAACAGAGGCTGAGAGAGACAGGATGGGGATGGGGAGGGGAGGCAGTATGTGACTATTGACTGGTTAGCAATGGGAAGGAGATTAAGGAATGACTGACAGAACCCAAACAAAGCCTGGCTCCTCAGCAGAAGAATGGGATAACACCCCCCACCCCCCATCCCCGCACCCCCTTGCCACTATCTGTGAGGTCGGGTTCTAGCATCCCAAGTCTAAAAGCTGAGGATGCTTAGCTGAAGGCAAACAGTATGCAGAGTCACCGGCTGTTTTTAGGAAACGGCTGACCGTGCTTCATACAGATGTCTTTCGTTTGGCAGTGTGCCTACCAGGCAAGCATCCTACGCCCTCAGCCCCAGCATACAATTTCCATTTGCTTATCAAGTCACCATAGGTCATTACCCACTTGACCTAACCGACTGCTACTGGGGAGCAGAGTCTCACAGAGGGTGAGGTGCATTCCAGGGGCCTGGCATCCACACTGTGGGTGTGTGAACTACATCCAGCCCCTCCTGATGGAGTGCCCGTCACATCTCTAGCCAGGCTTCCACCTGCCCAGTCATGTCTGTGGACAGGAGCCCCAGAGTGCCAGCCATTTCATCTATTTCGCTTCTCTTTTCTCCCTTGCACTTGAGGTATGGTCTTGTGTGCCTCATGGAGGCCAGGAGATTTTATATATACATATATATATATATATACTTACTATCTATCTATCTATCATCTATCTATCTATCTATATATGGTTTTTAAAAATTTTTTTCTTTTGTCTTTTTGAAGTAGGGTCTCCCTGTAGCCCCAGCTGTCCTGGAACTCACTTTGTAGACCAGGCTCCTTGAACTCTCCCCCCTGCCTCTGCCTCCCAAGTGCTGGTACTACAGGCCTGCGCCACCACGCCCGGCTTTAAAAATATTTTATATTTAAATTTAAAATATTTATTTTATGTGTATGAATGTATTGCCTACATGCATGTCAGTGCACCCGTGTTGTACAATGCCTGCAGAGGTCAGAAAAGGGCATCAGATCCCCTGGAATTGGCATTATGGATAGTTATTAGCCATCATGTGGATGCTGGGACCTGAACCCAGGTCCTCTGCAAGAGTAGACAGTGCTCTTAAGTACTGAGCCATCTCTCCAAGCCCGGGTTTTTGTTTTTTCTTGTTGTTGTTATTGTTAGTTTTTCTGTTTTGTTTTTTGAGACAAGGTCTTGCTATGTCCATAGCCAGGCTAACTTTGAACTTGACATCTGCCTGCATCTACCTCCTGAGTATGAGTGGGGATGGCATGTGTGAGCCACCATACCCAGCTCTATTTTGTCTATTTATTTGGCAGTGCTGGCTCATTTGGAAGCTGGCTTATTGCAGAGCCCCAGCAAGTACTTTCCTGCTTAGCTCCAGCCCCAAATCTAAAATCCCACATAAGCCTTTCATCCTCCCAGATGTGGTTCCCCTGGCTTTTTCCAGGTTCCTTTTGCCAAGTTCAAGGATAGGGGTCCTGTGGCTGGGGGTGTGGGAGGCAGTTCCTTTGGGTAGTTTCCCCTTCCTTCTACCAAGAGGCCTGTGGCAACATCCCACAGCAGGGACTGATCAGCCACAGTCTGCACCCTGGTAGTCTAGAGTGGACTTCTCTCCCTGTCCCTCGAACCAAGAGTTAGGACAGGGTCTCCCCGGGTATGTGTGTGTGGCTGCCCCCTCCCCCTCCTGCAGCCTAGGAAGCCATGCCCTCCTTTTTGGCTTCAAGGTGCTTAAAGGGACAGGGTCTCATTTTGGCTAACTTTGTTTGGGAATGACTGTCCATATCCAGCCCCTGCCTCCCCCTCACTGGCTGTTCCTCTGGGTTAAATGAAAGTTTGATTAAGGAACACATGGTTTTCTAGGACAGTTGCTCTGGGCAAAATGGCCTTGAGCCTGGAGAAGGAGCTGGCTCCAGCGTCTGAGTCTTACACTAGGCTTGGCCAAGCTTCTCTGGGTTCCATCTGCAAAGCAAGTGAGCAGCCTGTACCAAAGTAGCCAGCTGCAGGCTCTCAGGTCACCCTCAGCCCAGCAGGCCATAGGTCTTGTTTTGAGTGCTGGGGATGGAATCCATGACCTGGGCATGCTAGGCAAGAGCTCTACCACCCAGCCACACCCTAGCCCCTCACTGGGGAATTTAGCAGGGATTCTACTGCTGAACCAGCCCTCCTGCCCATTTTATTTATTTAAAGATCTGTTTTACATTCTCTGCGTGCCTGAGTTTATGTGTGCACCACATTGACTCAGGTGCCAGCAGAGGGTCAGAAGACCCTGGAGCTGAAGGGAATTACAGGTGGTTGTGATCCTCCCCCACCATGTGGATGCTGGGAACTGTGTTCAGGTCCTTCTGCAAAAGCAACAAGTCCTCTCAGTCACTGGCCATCTCTCCGCCCTGCTTTCTGCTCATTTTAAAAGCAGCTGTTTCTCCTGACTAGGGGCCATTTTGAGGACAACACAGTTGGTGGCATGCAGTTTACACAGCTGACTGTCTGCTCTTCATGCCACTGTGTGCTGCTCTGGGTCTGTCTGCCACTCTGGGTCTGTCTGTAGGTGCTTCTGTGACAACAGCACTGTTCTGTGGAGGTGTGTATTGCTTTATCACATAATTTTGTTATTTCTTTTTTTTTTTTTTTTTTTCGAGACAGGGTCTCCCTGTAGCCCCTGCTGTCCTGGAACTCGCTCTGTAGACCAGGCTGGCCTTGAACTCAAAGAGCTCCACCTGCCTTTTAAAGGCATGCCCCACCACACCGGTCATTTATTTCATTTTTATTTCTTGGTGCTGAGTATGTAACCCCAGTCCTCCCATATGCTGGGCATATACCCTGCCACTGAGCCACACCTCCAGCCTGGATAACTGATTATTAGCCTGTGCTTTGATTATTTTAAAACATAAAAAACTGAGACCTCAGCCGGGCACGGTGGCACATGCCTTTAATCCCAGCACTCGGGAGGCAGAGGCAGGCGGATCTCTTGAGTTCAAGGCCAGCCTGGTCTATATAGTGAGTTCCAGGTCAGCTGGGGCTTCAGGGAGACCCTGTCTCAAAAAGACCAAAAAAAAAACAAAAAAACTGAGACCTCAAAGAATGATGAACACATAGTAGTGTCTAGATTATTCCTCCGTCTCTCTTCCTCCTGACATCCTCTCTCCTAGAGAAGGTGAGGCCTGAGCACAAATAAGGCAGAGCTGGGCTTGGTCTTCGGGGGAGAGCTGGGGAAGTGTACTCTTGTGTGGCAGCTGTCACCCACTCTTTCCTATAGAGAACAGGTGGCTGGTGTAAAGGAAGAAGAATCACTGTCAGCCTGCCAGGGCTACAAAGTAGGACCCTGTCTAATCAATCAGTCATCATTTTCTCAGTGTCTCAGTGGATGGAGACCTTTGCTCCAGGCTCATGCTGTAAGCCCACCTGGCCTGGTGGTGGGCGGGCACACTGTGGCTCTGGGCATGTAGGTCCCTTGACCTCTGTACCCTAGCCACGCTAGCAAAGACTGTCCCCAGGGTCAGTGGTCTCTCCTTACTGTGTGACCACTTTGATCTGCATGCACCAGTTCAGAAAAAGACTGTGACAGTCGTGTAAATGACAGAAAAGAAAAGCATTTGTCAATGATTAAGCCAGCAGCCCTGGGGACAGTGGCATCATAATTTTGGTGAGGTCAAGGGCATTTTCTTCCTCGTGGGGACAAGGAGCCAGGAACAAGTAAGGGAAAGGCCACTGGGGCTGACCTAGGGCATTCAGTTCTGGGCTTGGTGAGTCTACGCAGTCAGAGGCAGAGCCAGCCCTGTGTGGGGCAGTTGGCAGCCCTCTGGGTCCTCTCATCTTACCCAGCCCTTCTTGCTCCTCAGGACCAAGTCTCTCGCCGTCCAGCGGCCTGGGATGGGTAATGGTGTGCAGGAAGGCTCAGTGCGTCTGCGTGAGGATGCTGAAGCCATCCTGTCAGGGCCTGTCTCCTCAAAGGCAAGTAGCAGGGGTGGGTGTTGGGGGAAGGAGGGACAGGAGAAAAGGGGGTGTAGGAGGCTGTTCCTCCCCACTGGGTCAGCAGAGCACAGTCCCCACTGTTCTTACTGGTCTTCACTGCATAAATAGTGCTTATTTCTGTCTCTGTCCATGGTCAGGGCCACATGGCCTCACTGGAAGATGCCAGCTGCCTTCTGTGTCACCTGCAGCCCCATTGTGCATGAACCCAGCCAGCCCCAAATTTCAGCAAGAGGCCAAGGCCTCTGCCATAATTTCAGGAGGCACTGAGTGCTGGAACACTGAAGAATGGAAGGCAGGTGCAGCAGGGTTTGCTGGGCTACAGGGCAAGACTCCATCTCAAAAAGTCTAAACAACAACAAAAAAGCAATAAACTCAGGGCATCCTAATTCCCTGTTGGAAGGCAGAAATCTGCCAGGTAGCTCTCCTATATACTCAAAACACAGGCTAGCCGGGCCCCATATCCCTCTCCAGGGCCTTGCGGGTGCCACACTACCAGTCTCAAAGTCCACCAGCTCAAAGCTGAGCTGGCGGCACCCTGTATCCTCCTGACCTTTCCCCAAGTTCCAGGCAGCACCTGGGACTGCCATTTGGGCAGGAGGACTCACTCACCAGGGCCACCTGGGGAGTCACCATCAGGATACTGAGGCATAAGGCAGGCATGTCCCTCAGAGACCAGTGGACTCCCTGACAGAACATGAAGACAGACAGCCACATGCATGCCAGAGGAGTGGGGGGATGGGTCCTGCCTCAGGGTATACCAGAGGCAACAATACCACTGAACTCCCAAAGTGCCCCCTGCTGGCCATGGCCAGTGTGCTGGTGGTGGAGTGAGGGGTGTCATATTATGGGAGAGTCACATCTCTGTGGCTAAGAAGCTGGCGCCCACTGGATACTATACTCACCTGTAATCTCAGCTACTCAGGAAGCTAAGGAAGGTGGATCGTGATTCTAGGCCAGCTTGCGTGCACTACATGGGCTGGGGTGTGCAGCTCAGTGCTTGGCAAACATAGGCGGGACCCTGGGTTCCATTCTAACACACAATAATAAAAAACGTGCAGAGGGCGTAAGCTGTTACAGAGTCATGTCTGCTTGTCCGACCTCATTACTAATTTTCCCCTCATCCCAAGAGACCCCTGTGACATGGTCCCACAATGCCATGCTGTATTTACATAAATGGGTGGGGATGAGGAGGGGAGCCGAGGACCACACATGGAGTGCTTACAAAGATCAGGAACCTAGAAGGACAGCCCCTCACAACTTGCAGTCATTGGCACCCCTCACATCAGGGGCTAACCTGTACAAAGCCAAGCAGAGCCTCAGGCAACATTCAGTCCTGTTGGGCATTGCTTAGACTACACAAGGAGCATAAGAAAAGTGAGCCTGGGTATGGTGGCTCCCACCAGTCAGTCCAGCACACAGGCAGCTGAGGCAGGAGGATGGCAAGATCAAGGCCACTCTGAGCTACAGAGCAAGGCCCTGTTTCAAAGAAAGAAAGAAAAAGGGCTAGGGAGATGGCTGTCAGTAAAGTGTTTACCAAGCAAGCATGAGGACCTGAGCTCAGATCCCCAGCACCCACACAGAAGCCTGATGTGCAGCACACATATGTAACCACCAGTGATGGAGTTGGGGAACAGAAACAGGAAGATCTCTAGAGCTTGCTGACCAAATCGGTGAGCCCTAGGTTCACTGAGAGACCTTGCCTCAAAAATAAGGTAGAGGGGTCTGGAGAGACAACTCAGCAGTTAACAGCACTAGCTGCTCTTGCAGAGGGGCTGGGTTCAATTCCCAGCACCCACATGGTGTCTGTTGATTCCCAGCACCCACATGGTATCTAACAACTCTCCGTAACTCTAGTTCCATAGGAATCCAATGCCATCTTCTGACATCCAAGGGCGCACTTACATACATGCAGGCAATACACTCATACACAGAAAATAAAAATAATTAAATATTCTTTAAAATAAGGCAGAGAATCTCAAGGAAATAAAGCAGAAAGTGACAGAGGCAGACAGGAAGTCCTGCTCTGGCCTCTTTAAGCATGTGCACCTGCACTCTCACCTGCACATACCACACACATACACAACACTACACACACACAGGAAAAAACCCACCTTCAGTATGTTACGTAGTAAAATTTGCCCATGTCGGTGTAGAGTTCCATGAGAAATGTCAAAATTCCAGATACTTTTCACCATTTCAGAGTTTTCTTCGTTCGCTTGCCCATAACTTTCTCCCCATCCTACAACTGGCAGGTCTGATCTGATTTCTGTATAACAGATTAGTGTTTACTGCTTTGAGAAATTCATGTAAATACATCATGTGCAAGAAAAAAAAATAAAGAAGAGAGGACTAGAGTAAGATACCTAATGCTGATCTCTGGTTGTACATGTGCACATACGTGGACGTGTGCATATGCAGATGTGTGCACACACAAAAAGCTATTGGTGTTTCCCTGGGCCCTGATCCCCTGCTGAGTAGTCCCTCCCACCTTCAGGAGACCTTGACCACGTTGCTTTCTGTGATTTTGACCTTCTGCTGTTGCAGAGAGACCACAGGCAGGTGCTCAGCTCCTTAGTGTCTGGGGCCCTGGCGGGTGCACTTGCCAAAACAGCGGTAGCCCCACTGGACCGAACCAAGATCATCTTTCAAGGTAAAAGTTTATGTACCTGTCACACCTGTCTGTGCAGTATGGAAACTGCCATGAAGTCACCTCCCCTTCCTCCTCATAGTCCCCAAACCACTTATGCTTGGTCTTACACTATTGTCCTAGCTAGCTTCAAACTCACTATGCAGCCCAGGTTGGCCCTGAACTTGCAGTGAGCCTCCTGCCTCAGTTTCCTGAGTGCTGGGATGTATGTGTTTGCCACCATAGCCATGGTCCTGCACAGCTAGCCTCGAGTCTGCTGTACCTACACAGACTGTTTACAAATCAGGAAGCAGATTCTGTTTCCCCTTCCCTGTCCCAAGGCTAAGGACATGGATGTAACTTCTGGGGGACATAGTCAACCCAAAGCAGAGTCCATCTCCTTCCCTTGGTGCTACACAGTGGTGGGCCATGCCTGAATAAGTGGAGCCCTCCAGCCAGTGGTCAGATAAATGGTCACTGGCTCCCTGACTGTTTGGGGAGCTGTGCACTTGAGTACCTCCCTACCGCCCCTTTGCCTCAGTGTGCTATATATAAGTGGGAGCATTGGTACCAACTATGTCCTGGATTGGTCAGAGGATGCTGCTGCCTGAGCATAGGGACAGCACCGGACCAAGTGACCAAAGACTTCATGGAGTGGGGAGCCAGGCAGGCCTGTGGTGCTTGAAAAGGCCACTAGTGCTCCTGTGCTGGGGTTGGGGCACTGAGAAGAGAGGCAGACCCAGACAAGCCCCGCCCTTGTTCTGAGGAGGCCTGGACTGCTGGCGGAGCACCCTCTGCTGGTAGCAGGGGTGGTGAACTGGAGTCCCTCCCAGGGTATGCATCCCCAAGACAGCCACACACCCAGCCCCAGACCCTTGCTGTCCTAGGTGCTCGCCCTACTTCCCTTCCTGGGAACAAGTCTGTGGAAGGCAGAAGAGCAGAATCCAGGCAGGAACCCCACACCCAGACACTGCTGCCTCTCCGCATACACAGACTAGACCCCCAGACTCCCAGACTGCAGTTCACACTCTTCTCATGGTCTCTTGTGCTTCTGTTCCTTCCAGTGTCTTCAAAACGATTTTCTGCCAAGGTGAGTTGCTGGGCTGAGGACCCCTGTGCCCCACACTGTCTTGTGGGGCTGGCAGGACTGGATGGAGTGGGTGGTCTGGGAGAGCGGGTTCCCAACCGGCCTTGTAGCCCAACTTTCTGCCAGTCACGAGGGTCAAGCATTTGAGGGGGTGCCAAGAGCCCCAAATGGCTGTGCTGGGAGCAGGTGGGGGCAGAGCAATGCTGATGCCCTTGTCCCGCAGGAGGCCTTCCGGGTCCTCTACTTCACCTACCTCAACGAGGGCTTCCTCAGCCTATGGCGCGGGAACTCGGCCACCATGGTGCGGGTTATTCCCTACGCCGCCATCCAGTTCACCGCACACGAGGAGTACAAGCACATCCTGGGAAACTACTACGGCTTGCGTGAAGAGTGAGGCCTCCCCCTCATCCTGGCCGGGTCCCTACTGGGCCCCTCCATTCTTCTCCTAGGCCTCGCCCCACCTCCTTCATTTGGGCCACGCCCCTGCCTGGCCTTCCCTTCCTACCCAGGCGTCATCTCACCCTGTTCCGATCAAGTCCTGCCTCCTTACCTGAGCCCCGCCCTCCCCAGGGGCTTCTCCCTCTGTTCACCGCTGGAGCAGCTACTCCCCGTCTCCCCTAGTGATCCTGCCCCTCTGCATGGTCCAGCCCCTTCATCTTCCTCACCTTGGCTTTGACACTGGCTCTTCTCCCTGCCCTTCTAACCAGGCTCTGCCTCTCCGTAGGTATTCCTTTCACTGTCTTGACCCTACTCTGTCTTCTGACCATCCCTCCACTGAGACCTGATTCCCAAGGGTGCAGGGCACTGGGCAACTTCAGCCTTAGGGAAGACACACGGTATTCCTGCGTACAGGGGTTGGGACAGGAGGCAGCTTGCATCAGCCCAAGCTCAGGGCAGGGCCCACCTGGGCCTGGTGTTCTTTGGTGTCCCCCAGGCTGAAGCTGGGGCTCCAGGTATCTACAGCCCCTCTCCCCTGCCTGCAGAGCCCTGCCCCCGTGGCCCCGCCTCCTTGCTGGCGCACTGGCGGGAACCACAGCTGCTTCCCTCACCTACCCCCTGGACCTGGTCAGAGCCAGGATGGCTGTGACGCCCAAGGAGATGTGAGTGCTGCGCCTGTGTTGGTGTGGGTGCTCCTACCATCTGCAGGCATGGAGGGGGTTCCCTGGGGTTTCTCCTCTGGGTGAGATTCTGTAGGTTCCAGAAAGCTCATTTATGCTCCTAAACTGCCTGGGCAGGCTAGCTCAGCTGGCAGAACACGCCTAAACCCCAAACCATGGTGGAAAAAGAACACCTGCAAGTTGTCCTCTGACTTTCACAAAAGAGGTGCCAAGCGCACCCCACAGTAGATAGGTGTAAACAGTTCAAGTAGGTAAGAAGCTGGGGACCTCAGCACTCAGGAGGGTCTGGAGTTTCAGGCCAGCCGGGGCTACATAGTGAGCTCCAGGCCAGCTGGGGCTAGGGGGAGACCCTAATTCAAAAAACAACAATAATAAAATAAATAAAATACCTGAGCATGGTGGTGCATACCTTTAATCCCAGCACTATGGAGGCAGAGGAGGACAGATTTCTGTGAGATTGAGGTCAACTGGGGCTACAGGGAGACCCTGATTCAAAAATAAAAATGATGAAGTAAAGCAGCTAGACGTGGTCAAGGCCAGCCTGATCTACACAGCAAATTCAGGCCAGCTGGGGCTACAGGGAGACCCTGGGTAAATAACCAAACAGCTCAAATAAACAAGTGCTATAAGAGCAGGGTGCAGTGCAGCTCAGGAGGAGCGTTTGCCTAGTAGGTGAGAAAGACTGGGTGTCATTCTAGTAACCAGAACTGGTGGGGGGCAGAGTGGGTTATGGGGGTCCCTGGAGTCCCCAGAAGTAGTCACCCCATGTGGTCCTGCAGGTACAGCAATATCTTTCATGTCTTCATCCGAATTTCTCGAGAGGAGGGCCTGAAGACCTTGTACTTCGGATTCACCCCCACTGTGCTGGGTGTCATCCCCTATGCCGGGCTCAGCTTCTTCACCTATGAGACACTCAAAAGCCTGCACAGAGGTGAGAAGAGCCAGGGCCAGGCAAGGAGCTAGGGGAGCTGTCCCTGTGGGCCCCACCTCATCCAGGTCCAAAGAGGTACTCTGTGGGACAGGTGGGGGCCAAAGTCCCAATCAGAAGATACCATATGTTCAATGGAACCCAGGAGGTTGGATTTGTAATCTTTAATGCTTCCAGTAAGTTAATTTTTTAAAAGGATTTACTTTTTTCTAAGTAAATCTTTTTTTTTTTTTTTTTGGTCTTTTTGAGACAGGGTCTCCCTGTAGCCCCAGCTATCCTGGATTCACTATGGAGACCAGGCTGGCCTCAAACTCACAGAGATCCGCCTGCCTCTGCCTTGAGTGCTGGGATTAAAGGCGTGCGCCACCATGCCCAGCTCCTAAGTAAATCTTTTTTTAAAATTGAATTTTTTTAAATTTATTTTTATTTTATGTATATGAGTGTATTGCCTGCATGTATATATAAGTGCATTTGTGTTGTGCCGTGCCTGTGGAAGACAGAAGAGGCGTTGGATCCCCTGGAACTGGAGTTGTGGATAGTTAGCCACTTTGTGGGTGCTGGGATTTGAACCTGGGTTTTCTGCAAGAACAGCCAGTGCTTGTTCTTAACCACTGAACCATCTCTTCAGCCCCTTTAAAACTTTTTTTAATTTTATTTTTGTTTTATGTTTATGACATGCATGCAATGCCCTCAGAGGCTAGAAGAGGGTGTTGGATCCTCTAAAACTGGAGTTAAAGGTGGTGTTGGCTACCATGTGGGTGCTGGGAACTAAACCTGGGTCCTCTGTAAGAACAAGCAGTGCTCTTAACCGCTGAGTCTGTTTCTCCACCCCCTGATTTTTTTCGTTTGTTTGTTTTAAAGTGTTTGTGTGTGCCTGTGTGAGTTTATGTGTACCATGTACATGCAGTGCCTGCAGATGCCAGAAGAGGACTCATCCTTTGGAACTAGAGTTAAGGATAACCATTGCCAGTTGTTAGCTGCCATGTGGGTGCTGGGAAGTAAACCTGGGTCCTGTTCAAGAACAGCCAGTGCTCTTAACAACTGAACTATCTCCCCAGCCTAGTAACTTATTCTCTATTCAGTTATTTAGAAATAGGTCTCACTGTATACCCCAGGCTATCTTTGAACTGGTGGCTCCTGCCTTGGCTCCTAGCCTTGGGTTACAGGTGTGCTGGTCACACCATGCTTTCTGTTATAAGTGGCTACTTTGCAGACTGCTGGTGGCACTTGTGTGCTCATAGGCTCAGAGCATGGTATTTCTGGCTCCCTCTCTCTAGGCACAGAGTAGAGCAGGTGCAGCTGGCCACTCAGAGCTGCACCTTCTGGAGCAGGAGTAGTGTACAACTTTATTTATCCCAGGTGTCTTCTTTAATAGACCTTTTAGTGAGAGTCTCGTACCCCAGGCTGGCCTCAAGTTCACTATGTAGCTGAGGATAATCTTAAATGCTTTGCACTTCACCTGTAAGTGCTGGAATGACAGGCGTGCATCACCCGCTCTTCTTAGTAAAGTGGTGGTATCAAAGCCAAGTCATCCTGCATGCTAGGCAGGCCCCCTACCACCCCTGCCATCCCTGCCACCCCAGGCATTTTTTTGTCAAAATGTTTCAGGTAAAGTTGGAGTCTCCCATCCTGTCTCTCCCTACTGAGGCCTCTTACTGGATCTGAGTGGCACCCCTGAAGATAGCTTTGGAAGTCAGGAGTAATGGGCACACCTGTTACCCCAGCACTCAGGAGAACTAAGCAGGAAAATGGCTCTAGGTTTAAGGCCAGCCTGGTCTGCTCAGCAAGATCCTGTATTAGAAAACCAGCTGTTGGGCTGGAGAGATAGCTCAGCCGTTTAACAGCACTGGTTGCTCCTCCAGAGGACTCGGAATCCTATCCTGGCACCCACCCCACATCAGGTGGCCCACAACTGCCTGTAACTCAAGCTCTAGGGGATCTGACACCCTTTCTGGCCTCCCCTGGCACTAGGCATGCACCACGCACATACATGCAGGCAAAACTTATTAAAAAAATGCAAATTGCTCTGGAAAGACCAGATCCTTTAAGATCTCTGGAGACTGTTTTTTGGTGCCTCAAGGACCCCCAATCCATGCTTCCAAGGTCCCCTACACGCAGTGGCATGATGCTTGTATAAGAACTTGGTCCCCTCCCAGATGTTACTTCATGGTGACAGCATACTGTGCCTGCATGGTGACTGCCTGGAACCATGAAGATGCTGTGGCAGCTGTCACTGTGTCTGACAGGGAACAGTGACAAGGAAGTGTGCAGGGCTGCATAGACAGGGACTTTTTTTTGAGGGGGGTCTTTTTTTTTTTAAATGTTGCTGAATTATTATTTTTTGTCTTTTTTTGAGACAGGGTCTCTCTGTAGCCCCAGCTGTCCTGGAACTCACTATGTAGACCAGGCTGGCCTTGAACTCACAGATATCCGCCTGCCTCTGCCTCCCGAGTGCTGGGATTAAAGGCGTGCGCCACCACGCCTAGCCAAAGGGTTTTTTTGTTTTTTGTTTTTGAGACAGGGTCTCCCTGTAGCCCCAGCTGGCCTGGAACTCACTATGTAGACCAGGCTGGCCTCAACAAGGATTTTTTTAAACACTTGATGTCTAGCTGGGTATGGTGGCTCAGGAGTCTGAAGCAGAAGGATGACCATGTGGTCAAGACCAGCCTGGGTTATAGAGAGTCTGTCACAGACAAATGTTTCTCTCTCTCTCTCCTCTCTCTCCCTCTCTCTCTCCCTGTCTCTCTCCCCCTCTCTCCCTCTCTCCCTCTCCCTCTCCCTCTCCCTCTCCCTCTCCCCCCCCCAACCAACTGGCCTACTCAGTCAAAGGCTAGCTGAGCTGTGGCTGCACTGTCAGCATCAACCACCCTGGCCATGCAGTGTGTACACACAATAAATAGCCTTTGCTTTTCCTCTGACATTGAGTGGCACCCCCAAGCTCTGCAGGAGAGTCCTGGGATGCACCCTCACAGACAAGGGGGACTGCACCCTGTGGATAGAGGGACTGCAACCCAGGATGGGGGCTGCACCCATGCATAGAGGGAAGTTCCACACTGTAGCCTGAGTTATCTCATAAAGACTCACTGTTATAAACTAGCCTGTGTCCAGCTAGGCTGTGACTTAGTGTCAGAGCACTGGCCTGGCACACACAAACCCCTGGGTTCCATTCCTAGCTCCAAAACCAAGGGAGGGTGACCAGGAAGTAGAGCCTCTTGCACTTGCATGGCACTCAACGTGACTTCTGCCCTACAGAATACAGCGGTCGCCCACAGCCCTACCCCTTTGAGCGCATGATCTTTGGGGCCTGCGCTGGCCTCATCGGGCAGTCGGCTTCCTACCCTCTAGATGTGGTTCGGAGGCGTATGCAGACAGCTGGTGTCACAGGCCATCAGCATGGCTCCATCCTGAGCACACTGCGCTCCATTGTGCAAGAAGAGGGTGCAGTGCGGGGCCTTTACAAGGGCCTGAGCATGAACTGGCTGAAGGGCCCAATTGCCGTGGGCATCAGCTTTACCACCTTTGACCTCATGCAGATCCTGCTGCGCCGGCTACAGAGTTAGGCCCAGGAAATGTGGATAGTGAGCTGGTGGATTGAGGGCATATGGTTGGGTGCTGGCAGCCCCTGGTGATACCTTGAGGACAGGCAGATGGGCGGGGCTTGGCTTAGAGCTACAGGGCCTGGACCTAAGCACTGGCCCTCCAGGTATGATGTTGGGAAGATGGCTCCCATCTGTCCCTCTCCTCCCAGCTCCTCTCCAGTGTCTGGTGCATCTCCCAGGGGTGTCACCTAGAAGGCCCCTAAGGGGTCAGTTCCACCTGCTGACCCTGTGTCTTTTGACCTGCTGCTGATTCTAGTGCCCACTGGCACATTGGGTTCAGAGCCTGTCCCTTCTTGCTGCAACTGTGTGCCTGGCCTGCAGATGCAACCAGCCCTTTCCAGAAGCCACACCCTGGCCAGGAGGGTCGAAGCTCAGCCCTGGCTGCACCTGTGTCCATCCCCCACCCACTGTGCCTCCCTTTCCATTGTGTCCTGCCTTTCCATTCTTTCCCAGGGGACAGACAGCCACTCTGTCCCCACAGGGTCCAGAACACTGTGCCCATCTGGTTCCTGAGGGCTGCACCTGGTCTTTGCCACTACCTGGCTTGTAACCTTTCCGAGAGGCCTCACTGCCACTATGAAGCGGTCCCCACTGGAAATGCCCATGTGTATCCCCTGAGGTATAGCACTTGGACCACCCAGAGGCCTGAGGGCTCTCACCCAAACATGGAGGTGGGCCCAAGCTCCTGAAACTGCCCTACCCAGACTTCTGGTGACACCCTGTGGGTCCCCAGTCCCCACTAAGGCTCTCGCTCACCCAAGCCAAGTGAAGGCCCTGGAGGAGTGTCTGGGCCTATACAGATGAACACAGGTGTCTGGGGCATGAGGAATGGTTGGGAAACCTGGGGACCCCTCGGTGTCACAGCAGGTCTCAGTGTGCCTTTCTGAATGATGTCTAGAGTTCATGATTTGGGCTTTTTGAGACAGTCTCACCTGGAAGTCGTGGCTGGCCTGCTACCTAGTATATAACCTGGGCTAGCCTCCAATTCATAGCAATTGTTCTGCCTCTTGATTCTGGTTTTCAACTTGTTGGGCCCCAGGTGTATTCATACCGAACCCCTGCCCCGTGTAACCTGGTTACCACAGCTGGCTGGGCAGCTGCCTCATATAGAGGACCTGAGCAGGTGGCTAGACCCCCCATGTGTTTCTAATCGTGAATCCCATTCCCACACCCCTTGCTCTTTGTCTCTTGCCTTGCGCCTGTGATGCCCAGACCCTCTCTGCCTTCCTCGCATGTGCTGATGGTCTGTCCTCATCCAGTCCCCAGGCACCTGTGGTGGCTTTGAGGGACCACCCTCTTGTGTGAGTGTGATGCCTACCCTGACCTTGTGCAGCCCCCACACTGGGCAGGACAGGCTGAGCACCCCATACAGGAAAGTAGGAGGGGAATGAGGCTCCTGGGCCACCCCAGCAAGTGGCATCATTTGGATGGTTGGGCAGCGCCTTGCATTGGACCATGGACTAGGCCTGAGAGGTGAGGGTGTCACAGGCCCCTGGTCTTCTTGGTCCCCCTGGACATGCCTCCTTGGTATCTCTGGCCTGGGTAGGCTCTCAGCCTTGTGGCTACCCTCCCCAGTCACCATCCTGGTCTGGAGTTCTATTTTGATGCCATGAAGACACTTTGTTTATATAATGTTTATATATTTTGATTTGTGCCAAGAGAGTATATTTAATAAAAATTTAAATGATGTCTACTTCTGGATTCTTAGGCTCAGACTTCTCCCCTCTACTCTAACCCCCCAGATGGCCCTAAAGCTATTTGATACCAGGTCTCATGTAGCCCAATCTTGCTCTGTAGACCAGGCTGGACTCAAATTCACAATCCACCTGCCTCAACCTCCGGAGTCAGGATCACAGGTGTGTTATCTTGCCTGGCTAACCTTCCCTCTTTTTTTAGATTTTCAGATATTTGTCACAGTAACAGGAAGCTGACTAACCCAGTTCCTGTCCCAGAGCTGGGCAGCATCCACAGCCGGAGAGGGTAACAGCAAACCACACCAGCTTTCTTCCTCAAATGTTTGCTATAAAAGCACCCCTAAGGGCCTGGGGATATGGCTGAGTGTTAAAAGGTTTTCCAGGCAGGCAGGAGGACCTGAGCTGATCCTCAGCAGCCATGTAAAAAGCCAAGTGCAGCACTGGGGAGGTGAAGGCAGGAGGACCCCTAGGGCTTGCTGTCTCTGTCACAAAATAAGGTGGCTTTTAGCCATGGGGAAGCCTGGAAGAGCTGCCCTCTTGAGGGCCTCAGATGGTCGAGATCTCTATTGAAATCAATAGCTCAAAGATGGAAAACTGGACTGGAGGTGTGGCTCAGTATAGAGCCCCTGCCTAGAATCCCCCAGTGAGGGTCTGGGGTGTGACTTAGGTAAAGCCCCTGCCTCAAATTCCTGAGTAGGAGACTGGGGGTGTTTTTTGGCAGAAGAGCACTTTCCATCATGCTTCATTTATTGTTTATATATGTAAGCTATCACGTAGCCCAGGCTGGCCTCAAAGTCATTGCATAGCCCTGGCTGAACTGCCTCTACCTCTGGAGCAGTAAGCTATGTGCCACCATCCTAGAAAACCTAAGGCATGGATCACAAGCCTAGAGGCCTCCCCTCTGGAACACAGTTCAACTCCCAAGCAGCCCTCAGCCAATCCTCTAGGGCAAGAACCCTCAGAGATCCCAGCAGGGCTGAGGTCCAGTGTTATCTTTTTGGTGCCACCTGCAGGGCATCGCCCCTCTAACCTCCCATCCGTGATCCCCACAACCCCAAGTCAGGGTCAGGTTGAGACTCATCTACAGAGGCACAGAAGGATCAGATAGGCCTACAAAGATGTCCTGTGGATTCATAGAACACACCCACGCCAGCCTTCTGCATCCTCAATAACCTACAAGTAAGAAAATGCTATCTCTGAGACCAGGGAGATGGTTCGGTAGGTAAAGCACTTGCTGGTCAATCATGAGGACCTGACTTCAACTCCCCAGAACCCACATACAGCCAGCCACAATAGCCCTTGTCTGTAATCCCTCCTACAGCAAGGTGGCGATGGATCCTGAGCTGCTGGACCAGCTAGCCTGGAGAATGCAGCAGTGCACAAAAATTTGTCTCAAACAAGGTGGAAGATGAGTATCCCATGCTGAGTTGTCCTCTGACACCCTCCAACCTCCATGCCATGGCACCTGTGTGCCTGTGTGCGCCCGCGCGCACACACACACACACACACACACACACAGAGAGGCAGTCACATTCTTAGGTGGCATGCTGCCCCCTTTTGGTCACTGTTACATGTAGCAGTCCTCTGGAACAAAGGAAGGGAACTTTTTCCCCTGGGGTGACAGTCCTGCTTCAGGCAAGGCCTGGAGGCTCAGGGCTGAGACCCAGTACCTGGACCCTGCACAGGAGTGTCCCCAGGCACCTGTAGCATGTCACCCTGGTGACAGTGTGTGATGAAGCAATGCCTGCAGGAAAGCTCACAGCTGGTGGGGAAAACAGCCAGCACTCCACTTTTTTTATTCTCAGTATATATTTTGCATATACAGGTCACACAACTCACATTATCTTATATAAATACACATGTGCCACACACCCTGGGGATCCTACCTCAGTCTAGAGCCAGTGGTCACGAGTACCAAGGCCTCACAACACGACAGCAATCACCCTCACAGCTGTGGCACAGGGGACAATTTTTCTCCTGTCTCTTCACCTTCCTCCCAGCTGGGACTCTCTCATTTGCTGTTTGTTTTGTTTTTTAACACACAGTCTTGTTATTAGCCCAGGCCAGCCTCCAACTCAAAATCCCTGCCTCAGCCTCTTGAGTGTGCTGCTGGGGAAACCAGTGTGGTGATTCTCCCTGCCTCCTGATGCTAGGGAAGGATCCCAGGGCCTCCCTGTGTTAGGTGAGTTCTCCCTGAGTCCTGCCCCTAACTCTCTCCTAGCCACCTCAGAGCATCTTGGAGTTCCACTCTTCCAGGACCTTCTCCCCAACTAGGTCTCCCAGCTCATCTCAGCCAGTGGGATCCCAAGTGTAAAAAACGGCCTGCCCCTTTTATTGAGAGCAGGTGTACACACACACACACACACACACACACACACACACACAGGCACACACGCACACTCACTCACAATGTGACCATGGCCTCCAGGCACAGGGGAGCCAGCATCAAGGGGTCCACAGCCCAGACATTCAGTGAAAGGGATGGCAAGGAGTCCTGCCACCCAGGTCAGCTGGGGACACTGAGGCACACATGCCCAGGGCAGGCACCTCTTGGTGGGCAGGGACCAGACTCCAGGGCCCCGGGAGTGTCATGGTCTAGGAGCCTGCCAGGTGCTGGTGGAAGTACAAGCCGAAGAGACTGGAGAGCAGCTGGCAGACTGCAGTCCACCAGATGAGGTAGGCCAGCACGCTGCGGAGGAAGAGGGGTGCTAGCAGACCGCCCAGGGCCCCTGCGAGCTGGGCCGCTGTCTGCTGGGCTTCATCCTCCCCAGGGCCTACAGAGACAGCATTGGCTGAGGATGGGGTCGACATGAGTGCGGAAGGGGCCTGACCCAGGCCCCAGGAGTAGCCGCCTGCAAGAAGAGGGGTGAAGGGAGTTATTGGTGAAGACGAGGAGTCGGGGGGGGGGGCGGGCACTACAGGGAGGGCTCCACCCCTCTATCTGAGCTCCTCCTCTATCCTTACCACGTCTGTGGGCCCCACTCTTGTCGAACTCCCCGTCCCCACTCCTCTGATGGCCCTGTCCCTACCAAGGCTCCGCCCCCAGTCCGCTGCTGACCCCGCCCTCACCCAGATTCTGCCGCACCCATCTACCTGCTGCCCTGCTCTTGTCCAGACCCCGCCCACACGCCTACCTCTGGTCCCGCCCCTCCCCTCCCCATCTCTGGGCCCTGCTTCGCCTTGGCCTGCAGTCCCCATCCCTCGGTGACAGCCCCGCCCCCGCCTACCCACTGCCCCCCTCCCTGGCCCAGGCCCCGCGTCCATCATCCCACCCTCACCCAGCGTCTTGAGCAGCAGCGTGCAGTGCAGCGTGAGGATGAGCGGCGTCAGGTACTGCAGGCTCACCACCGTCACGTAGCAGTAGACCCGGACCACCTGGCGGGGGAGACATGAGGACTGCAGAGGAGTCTTCTCGGGTGGGGGACCCCCGGCCTGGCCGCCCCCCCCGTGCCTCTCCCGTACCCGCTGCTGGATCTCGCAGGCCTCAATGCGGCCCGCCTCCTTGCGCAGCTGCTCCACGCGCGCCTTGGCCAGGCACAGGTAGGCCTGCAGGTGCGGCCGGGTCACGGCCAACCGCAGCAGACACAGTGCCACCAACACCCAGAGGCGCAGCGAGTCGAAGGCCTCGTCCGACAGCCTGCAGCAAGGCGAGCGGTCAGGAGGCGCGGCTGAGCCCTCCCTGTCCCCCATGCCAGGGTTTTCCTGGCTCATCCCGGACACCCAGGTGCGCCGAAGGTGCGCCAGCTGCCCTCCCCCGCGCCCCCGCATACGCACAGAGAGTAGGTCTCGACCCCCATGGGTGCCTGGTGCAGGAAGTCCCGGGCCACAGGCTTGGTCCAGAGCCACAGGATGCACAGGGGGGACAAGAAGCTTGTGTGCAGGAGCAGCCTGCGGACAAGGGCGGTGCCCTGAGGTCCTTCACCCTCAGCTTCTCCCGAGACCCCTATCCCGGTCCCCAGGAGGCCCGCCTAACTGCAACAGAGGCCGGTCTTCAGACAGGGTCAGCGCGTCCCGGTGGGTCTGGGCCAGCCGCAGGCCAGGGAAGGTGAGGAAAGCACCTAGCATGGAACCCACCACAGCCAGCCCCACTCGGATAGTCAGCTTGGCCACGGGGAGTCTGGGGAGAAGAGAAGGTTGCAGGGACCCCACCGCTGGTCAGAACCCAGCCTGGGCATCTGGCTGCTCCCCACTACCCCTAGCCCCCAAGGTCCAGTCCCCAGGACTCACGCCCAGTCCCAGCCCTGCTTCTTCAGAATGGGCTCCAGGTTCTGGGTCATGCTGGCCAGGCCTGGGGAAAAGGAGAGCCACAGTGTAGATTTACAGGGTCTTCAAAACTAAGCTGGTTCATCTGCTTGAGGGTTCACCTGTCTCTGCCTCTAGGATGCTGGACTTGCAGGCATAAGTCCAGGCATAATGTTTGACTTCGTGTGTGTGTGTATGAATGAGAGAGAGAGAGAGAGAGAGAGAGAGAGAGAGAGAGAGTCTTCCTGTAGCCCCAGTTGGCCTGGAACTAGCTATGTAGGCCATGTTGGCCTGGATGATCCACCTCTGCCTCCCAAGTGCTGGGATTAAAGGGGTGAGCCATCACACCCAGCTATGTCTGACTTTTTACATGGGTGTTGGCGATTCAAACTCAGGGCCCTTGTGCTTGCAGAGCAAGCACTCTTATACACTGGGCCATCTCCCTAGCCCAGACAATCTTTAATTTCATTTATTTTTCCTTCCTGGAATGGAATCCAGAGCCTCACACATACTAGGCAGGTGCCTTGTCACTAAGCCAGCTCTGAGACCTGCTAGGGCCATAGTGTGCAGGGCTCTTTTCAAGAAATAGAACCTGAGGCTGGAGAGATAGCTCAGCAGTTAAAAGCACTGGCTGCTCTTATAGAGGACCCAGCAACTACATGGCAACTAACAACCATCTGTAACTCCAGTTCCAGGGAATCTGATGCCCTCTTCTGGCCTCCACAGACTCCTCCGCTCATGTGCACAGACATAATACACAAAATTTTTAAAATTTAAAATATTTTTTTAAATCTTGAAAAGAAGCCAGGCATGGAGGCGCACACCATGTCCTGCTGTGTGTGTGTGTGTGTGTGTGTGTGTGTGTGTGTTTT